AAGGATCAACGAACTCCACGAAGCGAAAGGAAGATCAAATAGATATTAATTAAATTATAGATATATCAATTCATGTGAATATGACTGAAAAATTTCAATTTTTCTGAAAAGGTGGTGTCTCTTTACTTGTGATCACTCTGTGTATAATAATAGTAAGACCCTCCATGGGCAAGGTCCCCAAAATTCTTAGTCCAGCCTTGTTAATTTCGATACAAGACTTATGAAAATGGACCAAGTCCTGTAGGTCCCTTTATAGATAATATAAGCCTAAGTGAATAAAACTGTTTTATCGCTCATTCTGTAGATCAATCCATTAGTAAAGTCTCTTTCAGCGTTACCCCAATTCCTTTCTTGTGTTACTGTGAGGAATACTTTTAAATCAAGGATTTCCCATTGTTGTATTCTCAGATACAGTGAATTTTCGAAGAGGAAACGAGGAGGATCCCCAATAACAGGAGGTTCTCTAAATAATATACTATGAAGTATGGAGTTAACTTTCCTGACATACACACACAAAAAGAGAGATACACAAAAAAAATCACAAATTAACAATCTTTATTACAAACATAAATCAAAGCTGAACTTAAACACAGGAAGTGTCTTTTTATGTGTGTGCATGCGTGTGTGTGTGAGAGAGAGAACTTCATTGGTTTTCTTTCACCAAGGCAGTGTGAGGACACCCTGAATTTAAAAGAAAGCCTAGAAAATAAATCTAAAAGCAAAGCTCTAATGATACATCCAATCTCAATCTCAAAAGTTGAAGTCTTTGTTATAGAAGAAAGCCAAAACAAAACCAAGCTGCTAACGACTCACACATCACTTACGTGATCCAAGACCATTCTTGCTTAAGTACAAAGGTGGCTAAGCCCCCGAGGCATTATTTGGTTCATTGACAGAAAAGGTAGCTGTTTTTTTGGGGCATCACATATCATATTATAACTATCTTTCCTGCAAGAAAATATATTTAATGACCAATGAGAGTGAACCTGGTTTCATGCACAACTAGAGTGAGGGGATCTTAAGTTGTTTATTTGATCGACTTTCAACGTTCAAACCGAAAATAGAAGTAAACATAAATTTTGAAAACTTTTACATATTCACTAAGGGGATATCAAACATATGATAATATCCTGCACCACATTTCTCCCTTTAAATTAAGGCCAACTCAGCCATAGCTAATTTCAGGATACAAAACCCAATTGAAATTTACTCGCATGTCAGTCAAGAAATTTAGATAACTCGTCCTTGCATCAGTAAACCACTTGCATAACAATACAAACAAGTAAGACAAGAAAAAACTTTAAACAAAAAGTTAAAAATTAAGCAGAACAAAACAAAAATCTTTGATCTCCTTTGGAGGAGAAGGGGACAGCTAACCTAATATGATATACAAAACAAATCCTTTAACATTTAAATATATACGAAAATAAAATAAAACCCTTTAATAATGAAAGCAAAGTACAAAAATAATCAGGTGGTAACAAATTATCAAACGCTTCATGGATATACATAATAGAAAATAAAATAAATTTTTATGTAAAAGTACAGATTGCATTCAATCTCGGCTGTGTTTTTTTCTAATCGCGATATTATCCCAGAGTCTGAACTTCGGGTCTATTATCCTACTCTTTCTAAATACACACACACACATTTAAGTGGAAAATAATCTCCATTCCACATTTAATGTTTAGGGTTCGAACCAGTAAATTTATAAATCCTTACTCTTCCTTTCATTTACATAACCAGACGTTTACACACAATACCAGTTTTAACCCTAGCTGGATGATCTTAAGTCCCATATTTATACACAATACATATTAGTTTTAACCAGAGCAAGGTCACAGGTTGAACTTATTAAACTCAAGTGCGAGAGGGTATCTGCATATTGATGGCCACTCATAGGTCTATAACGCACTGCAAAATTAAACTCCTGTAATAACATATTTCATTGCAGCAGTTTTCTGTTTTCATTCTTCACTCTGTGCACCACATTAAAAGATTATGGTGCATTTTCACGACAAATGCTTTACCTGAGAGAAAGGGTCTTAATTTGTGAAGCCCGACATGACTTCCAAGCACTCTTTTCAGTGGTAGTTAAAGCTTTCTTGCGTGCTGGTAATTTCTGGCTTAAATACACCTCTGGATGCTCCATACAATCCTTACCTATTTTACTCAGTACTATCCTATAGCTTTATTAGGTGCATCAGTTTGCACAATGGTGGCTAATGTCTCTTTATAGCTATGTGAAATTGGCTTCTTTTAACTTCCTAAAAGCCATCTCACCGGCCTCATCCACGCAACACATTTTGGTCATGAGTTACAGAATAATGCTGTGATTGGAACTATTATTTCCATAGACCTTGGAATAAACTTCCTGTAATACCATACTATCCCAAGAAATCATCTAACTCATTTCTTTGTTCTAGTTTATCAAAATCTCTAATACCTTTTATCTTTGCCTTTACAGGGGCAATCAATCCTTTATCCATCATGTGACCTGGATACTTTATGCAGTCTGCCACAAGCTCGTATTTACTTCGTTTTCCTGTTTAGCCTGCTTTACTCAACCTGTCTAGTAGTTCCATCAACATTCTTAGGTGCTCATCCCAATTATTACTGTGTATGCAAATGTAATATATATAACTGTAACTGACTCCCCTAAGCTCCACAAGATGTTATTCATTAGCATCTGAAATGATATTGCAGCATTATTTGTTCCCATGGGTATCACATTAAACTCAAACAATCTATGAGGGGTAGAAAATGTTTTCCTTTTAGCCCCTTCCTCTAACCTGACCACCAATAGTTTTCACTGATCCTATCTTCCGTTTTAGCTATATCTAAACGTCCAATCAACATCGCATCATGCCCTAACTCTAGTACTGCCTGTCTACATTCCTTTTGGAGTACAATTTAATCCATACCGTCTGCTGCATCATTTCAATTACATTTACACCTTAACACTCATTCCTGCCGGTAATAATAATTTTGCCCAAACTTAGTTTCTTCTGGTTCTTCTATAACGGCTTCTTTGCGGCACTTATCCAAACTCATTTTGTAACTGTCATTTAATTAGTTGTTCTCGATCAGTATTCCCTATTCTAACAGCAGTTAAAGTTTCGTCATTATTTATATTATTTACTTGATGATTTATTTCTTCACTAACTCCTACATGTGTTTCAGAGTTTTCTTTAATTTTATTTGTTATTTGGAAACTTTGGCTATGTGTTACCACTGCTATTGGTGTATTTTATAACCCGACAGCTCTACCTCATTACACTTTTATGACTATATCACCTTCAAAAGCTTGACATTTCAATGTGACTTTAGCTAGTGGAACAGCATACCTTGACCTCCTGTTGTGGTACTAAACCCAATTATATATGTCACATGTAAATTGATTTTCTTTAACTCTTTTCTAACCAGAGTTTCCAACCACCAATATCCTTTGATGCATTTATGGCTTGCCCATCTATCATCACTTCTTCTAAAAATTTAGTTGTAAAATTTTCTCTTCCTTCAATACAACATACTGAAGAATTTAACTACATGCTCAACTTGGTTACATATGAAACATTTTGGCAAAGGTTTGTAATTTCTCTCCTTATTTACAAAATAACTCTGCAGAAAAGTTCTCTTTACTATTTTCGGTGTTTGCTTGATTTTCTCCCACTTTCAAATCACTATGTTTTCTCATCACTACATATTCATTCACCATATCACTGTCTAACGTGCACTTGCTGGATTACTACCTTTTACCATAGTACTAATTATGTTGGTAATTTTGTCAAAAATTGGTTTTGCAACATTGCATCTAGAATCTTGTCAGAATCTCCAGTACAGTTAGATCCTTCAATCCATTCAACTAGCAAGTCCTGCATCCTAGTTCCGTTTTCTTTAAATGTCTCGTTTGCCATTTTTTCTAACTTTCTAAACTGCCTACAATAAGTTTCTGGACTTAACTCATACATATCTAAAATTAATGATTTTACTACATCATACTTTAATTTGCCAGTGCTCCTAATCTTATTGTTTGCTACCAATGCCATTTTTTTGAGATAATGCAGGAAGTAGTTTCCTCACCACATTCTGTGACTGTCATTCCTCTATTTTAACACAGAAAAGCACATCTATATCACTTTCACAAAATGTAGGCAACTGGTCACGTATGTTTCTTTCATGCATGCCAGCCCTATCACCAGAATTATCGTGCATTACACTCATCATCAGCTTGAATTCTATCTGTTGATGCTTATCTTCTAACTAGCTTTAAAAGTGTCAGAAATTTACAAAAACTATTAAGGTAATAGAATGAATAAAAGCAGAAATCAGATTTTCATTACAAAACAGACTTGATGTATAGTATGAAAGCTGAACAAATAGTGATTGAAAATTAATTGCAAATTTAGAAAACCCAGTTATTCCTTAGAGACTGAAACTTTTTAAAGTAACAGTCTCGCATATATTCTCTTCAACTGTCTATTTGACAAAGTAAAGAAGATACGCTTTGTTAGCTCTTATCATCAGGGAGAACGTATTGCATGAATCAAGCAGAACTGTATCCTACGTATTCCATGAATCACATGGAATAGGTAATCTATGCGTTGCGTGAATTATGCAAAACTGATAATATACACGTTGCAAGAGAAATATGAAAGGTAAGATACCTTAAGAATATAAGAGCTTATCATATAAAGTTTGTGATAAAAATTTGAAGACTAAAACTTTTGACTATAAGTAGGTGTTACTACGGATAATGTTACTTTAGGAAGACAATGTTTCTATAGCTCCATAGCATTTTAATACATCTGCTGTTTCGCTTTCACAAGTTAAACCCTTATTTCAACGAGACAACTATTATAAAATATATCAGTTCATACATATCTATCATTTGAATGAGACAGTTTATATGCTTTTAATGTCTTAAAAAGGACGATCATTTAATTCTATATAGTTTAACACACAGTTTCACTTTATAAGTATTTTTTTTTTGATAACAGAGTTAGCACAAAGAATCACATATAAAGTGTAATAGACTTAAAAATAAGAGCCAAAACTCGAGCGCTTTCGAATAGTTAACTATTCTTCTTCAGGAAAAGAAGAATAGTCACTTTATAAGTATATATTCACATATAATGCATGTTTCACCACTTATAATGACTGGCGTAAAACATATTCTTATGTTAATCCTCTATGTATGATTTCATACATATCATTTTGCTACAACTAAATATAATAAATGAACGACTTATCCAATCATTTTACTATTATAGAGTCTATCTAAAATAGCAACACTTACCATTCATTTGATGTTCTATGCAATTAAAATTCATAAAACTTTAAGATAACTTCTGTCTGACGTCAAGACTGCTGTCTGTTAGGAAATACAAAAGTCAACACGTGGTCACACATACAAACGATGTGGACTATTTAAATATAACAGTTGATGACAAGTTTGCCCTTGTGTTCATCTAACACTAAACCAAGTAACGCTTTCGTTTCTACGAACCAGAAATTATGTTTCCGTATTTTTCAAAACATCATGTTTATTTAAATTTAGTTTCCAAATACATTTTTCACAAATGAACCTAATCGTAGAAAGGCCTTTAATTATGAAGCAAGTGATTATTTCAATGACATCTTTCTCGCAAAGATTTCGAAACAATGTTTCGGTAAGATGAATTATATAACTCAATGTTTCGTCATAGCCCACTATGCTGTCATGTAAGTAAAAATTAACAAGTATCATACATACTTAACAAAACTGCAGGTACACTAATATACTATAAACATCATAATTTATAATTTTATTTGACTAGCTTTCGTACAGATTATATCCATATCACTATTTGTTTATTCCAACTCAGTATAAAATTTTATATAGTCTGTACTTTACAACAATTGGTCAAAATATCAGTTTAATTACTATTTTATTTATTTCATTTTATAATTTTCATTGATGTTTTAGACTCGGAAAATATAATGAACAGATACGAAACAATGCTATGGTATTTTTTGTTTGTTTGTTTGAAGTTAAGTACAGAACTAAACAATGGGCTATCTGTGCTCGGCCCACCACGGGTATCGAAATCCGGTTTCTAGTGTCGCAAGTCCGCATACATACCACCGTATCACTGGAGGGCATGCTATGGTAACATTTTATATTTAGTGTTCATATATATATCTATATATATATCAGATGAAATATTGCATAGCAATAGAACTAGTCGAGGTCGTTGACAGATATATGACAAAGGTCAATTCTGAGTTGACCAAGTCTATTAAAACACATTGTCACTATTTATGTATTTACAACATACCTAATATTGAAAATAAACGGATCAAACTCTACAAAATCATATATTTTCTTCATAAATTTAATGTTCACCATACTTTAAATAGTTTTTGTATGTCACTGAATTTAAAAGTCAGTAAATAATCAACATGTAAAATGCATGATGTTCAAGATTTCATTATAAAATACAACGAATTATGTTTGTATGTATTCGAATGGTGACAGAGTTAGCTGTTTCTGATTAGTGTTGATAATCTCGGTTACAAGCTAAAACATATCCTAATTTTCAATATCAGTCTACAACAAACAGTCTAAAGTGCAGTCAAATATGGGTTACTTTTCAAATATAAATACCCTGTCCCTTTCACCACTAATAATCAGACTGGTGCAGTTCTACTACACTGAAGAAAGAATTATAAACCAGTCTTTAAACGTAACTATATTGTTACATATATTTCTTTGCTTATAAAACTGTTTTCTGTGTTTATTTGACATAGTAATGTTTGTTTTCAGTCATATTCATTATTTTAATGAAAGACGTTGCTGTGTATTATTATTATATACAACAATATTATAGTCGATTAGAAAGAAAATAAATGTTGCTTACAGTTAATGAAATGGCGAAAAAGATCAAATCCAGCAGTGAAGAAGAACCAATAAAATAGAAAATATGACAACTAGGTTTCTCTACTATAATACAACGTGAAGAAGCACCTGATTCATCTCATGCCTATCCTATTGGGAATGAGCAGTTACATCAATCTATCAAGTTACGAGAATAATTTGAACATTCATATTCGGCAGTTTAACGACTCTGGAAAAGGAAAACTATCCAATCAAGGAAGGTATCACTTTTTCTTAAACAGAATGGGAGGAATTTTAACAGTGGATCTCAAACATTACTGTAATTGTACAGAGCAAAACTTAAGATTTTCTCTTAGAAGGACGGAATCATGTAATTCATGTTGTATCCCATCTATTTTGTTTACATATCAGTTTGATTATCATGGTATTAATATGGCATCTGATAAGGTTCTCTTTCTTCTATCAAATTTAGAATGGCAGAATGATTGGCTAAACAGCAAGTCATTCATTTATTATATTTAGTTTTAGTAAAATGATATGAATGAAATCCTACATAGAGGATTCATATAAGAATAAGTCTTATTCCAGACATTATAAGTATTGAAACGTACGTTATAAGTAAATATATACTTATAAAGTGAAACTGTACGTTAAATTATATAGAGAATTAACTTGCGTCCTTTTCAGGACAATAAAAATATATAAAGTAAATTATTGGCCATAATAACTGTCTCATTCAAATAATGGATAATATGTATGTTATAATAGCTGTCTTGTTGAAATAAGGGTTTTACTTGTGAAAGTGAAACAGTAGATGAGTTAAACTCCTATAGAAGTATAGATATATTGTTTGCCTAAAGTAACACTATTCTTGTAATGATAACATCTTCAGACCATAGAAACACTGTAAACCTTTGTAAGTGGAAACTGCCATAAATAAATCTAGACATTTGAAATCAAATTGCCCTTTGTAACACAATACATATATATGATTTTAATAATAGTATCCATCTTGGTAAGACATGCACAATATATCTAGTAAGACCATCCGCCTAAAGAAACACATCTGCCTTTTGTAAAATGTATGCAATAAATACATAAACATAAGTTGAAATCTGTATAGAATCCTATGGGACTATCTGCCTTTGTAAAACATACATAATCCACCTAGTACGCCTATAGAAATATATAATAGAAATGTACAGTAACAGTATCCACATATAAAACCTTACTTACTTAGCATCTTAATATAAACTTTAGTAACACTGTCCGTCTATAGTAACAGGTCCTCTTTGTAAAACATTAATAACACCATCCGCCTATAGAACTTCAGTAACGCAATCCTTAATAACACCATCAATATACAAAACTTTAGTAATAACGCCTTTAGAAACCTTAGAAATGCCGTCCACCTATAGAATATTAGTAGAACCGTCCGTCTATAGTAGCAGGTCCTCTGGTATCAAAATATGATATCACTCTTCCCTAGGATACTAGCACCTTCTGGTTCCACTTTGCGGAACTATGACGTCACTCCTAGCAATGCTCTCTCTGTCTTCCACCTGTCCTAGCACCGCACCCTCTGGTGTCTATTACATAATCGTCTCTACCTCTTCCACACTGAAGTCGACACACTTGTGTCGCCTTCTGGCGGCGTGGCTGGCAACAAACCCTCTAACTACTTACAGCGCCCCTTCCTCTTGTCTGTAGTAGTTGATGCTCTACTCCTCAAATCACGCACACACACACACACACACACACATATATATATATATACATACACACACACACATATATGTATAACAACAAAATAATACAATATGCCAAAATCACTAAATATCAAAAATCGTAGTGTACCACAGGTTTAAAGAGGCAGAATTATCCTTATCTGCAAAAATTTCAAGAGAAAGTATAGAATACATTTTTATGTGGTTATTATTGTTAGAGGTGGATGTAAGCTTCCACTGACTATAGTATCTTCGGCAGGCACCCTGAAATAGAGCAGGAACCCGAAAATCGATTCCTAGGGCGCTGTCACAGCATCATCAGTCCAAATTATATTTCTAATGGTTGAATACGTTTCTTGTATCATGATAATTTATCCCTGAGCGCTTTTTATACGCTCAAGCATAGGATTGAAAGATTACATGAAGGCGAAGTATAAGATTTTACAACCAAAGATGGGAGTAAAGTATTGAAACGTACAATCCTATTGATAGCATAAGAAATATATTGAAAGAAACTAAAGATAAAACTTTTAGGCAAATATAAAATCATGTTTTGCAAACTTTGCAGGCGTATATGGGGCAGTCACAGTTATATATAAGTTTACTAAAATCTGAGAAATTCCTCAACTATTCTAAAATCATTTGGAAGATTGTTCCAAACTCGGGTGAGTTGATACGAGAGAGAGAGAGAGATCAAATCCATACCTTGTGGTTTGACTTGAAGAAGGTCTACTCTGACAAGTGTTTTGTCTAAAATAATAGGAAAAATGTTTAATTTTAATAAGGTATTATATATGACTAGAGGAAATCATGTTTAAAATTGTAAGAGTGCCATATAGTAAATACATTTAGCATGTAAAAATGTAGCATATGCATCATTTAAAAATTTATGTATAGGACTTTCACAATCGTGATAGATAAATCTTTGCTGTCTTCGTTGACTTTTATCAATTTCATTAGATATGTTCTAATTGTAAAAATGCCAGATAAGAGGACAGTGGTTATAATGTGAGCCAATAAAATAATTATGTATAACAATTTTTTTCTGTTGTGAGAGATATTGACCTATTATTCTTAAAACTGAAAATGTTTTGAAGCTTTCTTGCAAATTCCAGAGATATGAAGATAAAGGTTAGCATAAAATTTGCATTTATCTCTAGGAATTTGATGTTTTCCTCATTTCTGATAGTAAAATGAACTATATTATAGTATGATTATGATTATGATATTTTTTAATTATTGATGATTTTTATGAACCTCAGATGGTTGAAGATACTGAGATAATACTGTTTTTAAAACTTCAACAACAATTCCAAAACCAGGACAGAAAAAAAAAGAGGAACTTATAACCACAGCATCAAACGTCATAGACTGGGTGTGCTGATTAGTGTACCGAATTGTGAATCCAAGGGTCCATAAATAACGTCGTTGCTGTAAAATCGCACTCTGCACATTGGGGGCGTCATTGCGTTAAAATTCATCTAGTTAAATTAAAGTAGCCCAAGCGTTAGCGGTGGGTGCTATCAGAGCAGGCCCTAGGCAAAATTGTGGCCTGTGCGAACTTTGAATACTTGCGCCCCTGTTCCGTAAAACGGAAATGAACCACTAATTGCAATGTTGATTTTGGCGCCCTTTAGGGTTTCGTGCCCTGTGCGGGCTACACATCGCCCACCCCAAGGGCCGGCCCAGGGTGCTGTTGACTAGCTGCTGTCCCTCTACTCTATCATTTCAAAATTAGGAGAGTTGTTCGAGAAAAAATACTATTTAATTCCTTCACTTTTCACGGGTGCTTTTAAATTAAATTGGTTTGAAATTTGTAAAAATTATACTAATTTTTGAACTATATTTATTGCAATTATTGATTTACTCTTTCAAGTAAATTATTTAATAACTACTTTCACTGTTCTGTAGTTATCTGCAATTTACAGAGTGCAGAAGTGCCAAGTGTGACGGATTTATTATTATATATTTATTTTAATATTGATGTTTGTTTATATTAAATTTATCTTTAGAAATGTACATAACTTATATTGTTAAATATGTATTGTGAAACTCCCGCCTATTCTCTAAAGTTGTAGAAGATTCACGTTTGTTTGTTTGTTTTTGAATTTCGCGCAAAGCTACACAAGGGCTATCTGCGCTAGCTGACCCTAATTTATCAGTGAAAGACTAGAGGGAAGACAGCTAGTCATCACCGCCCACGACCAACTTTTGGGCTACTCTTTTACCAACGAATAATGGGATTGCCCGTCACTATATAACACTCCCACGGCTAAAAGGGCGACCATGTTTGGTGGGAATTCAAATCTGCAGATTGCGAGAAGGTTCTCGAGTGTAAGAATCAACAATATATGTGTGTATGTCAAGGCTAGTGTTAGCGTTAGTATTGTTACGTAAAACTGAAATTTTGAGAAACTCTCCACACGCCTATAAATATAACCAACGCGCCGCGCCAAAAAACAGTATCTATTATTGGGTCCTATAGTTGGTTTACTATAAACTTCAGAAA